AAATGAAAATATGAATTACATATAAATCTAATTTTTTTCTCCATTTCCCTCACCTTTTCTTTTTTTCTTTCTCCTTTCAAATCCTTACTCAAATCCATAATCCAAATACAATCTTAATGTTTATTTTGGTGCCTTATACCCCTAGATGAGTAGTAAATTTATTGGTGTAGAATGATTACAAAGCTTGCAAGAGTAGTAAGTAATATCACAATTTGTATTGTTTTACTTAACTTTTGTTCAATTAAGTGATAAATAGAGTCACATTGAGTGATCGGTAGATTCACGAGTGACAAACAATGTTGCATGAATCTCATTTTATTCATTAATATCTTTTATTTATTTATTTATATATTTTAAAATCTTGTATTTATTTATTTATATATTTTGTTCAAGAATCTCTTTTTGTCCTGTTCATGAATCTCATCTTATTCATGAATGGAGATTCATTGTTTTGGTGACCTTTTGTCTTGCTCATGAATGAAGATTATTTAGAATTCATGAACTTGGTGGTGAATTAATATTTAGATACACTCTCCATTTTCTCTAGGTTCATGGTCATTATTATTTTTTGGTGTATTTTGTAAAATCCTAGTGGCCTATAAATAGTTCCTCTCATCTACTTTTTTTTATACCAACACACCAATTATTTTTCTATACTTGAGAGATTACTAGCAAAGAAGGGTGCTTTTCTTGGTGGAGCTTTGGGTTCACCATCTTGTGCAGAGTTGGCTTGAACTATACGACAAGTGGTCGAGCTGTTGTATCTTGGAGGGGACAAGTCATAGTTTTGTAACTGCTGCATTGGTATTTGGATTCTTCCTACCGCAGTGGGCTTGATTTCCTTAAAGAAAACGAAATATCAATGCCTCAGTCTGATCTATTTGTATCTCATTTTCTTTGCAATTTTTATCAATAAAATACAATTTTTCCTGGTATTCTCACCAACAAAACCTATGAAGTTGAATGGTGTAATTTAGGAGAAATTATTCAATACTTTTGGAACACAAGTTTAAGTGGTGCTCCAAATAAAGAGTTATTGCCTAAATTATGGGATCCACCACTTTTGTGTTAGAGTTTTACGGTATAAAGTGTTGAGTGTCAACTTGTAAATGGAATAGAATATTATTTCAGGAACATTGAATAATTTCTCATAATTAGGGATTAATTTTGATATTAAGGAGGGTGTAAACAAAAGAAGGTAGAATTTTAATTTTTCATTAAATGTGTAATGAGAAAATAAATATAATGAGCTAAAAGTATTCTGTAGATATAATTAGCCCCTAATAAAATCAATATGTTTATCACGAAATTGATCATTTTGGGTGGAGAATAAAATGTAAAAACATAAGAGAACATTATTTGTCATGATTTGTCAAAAAATTATTACTAATAATTTTCCCCTAATTTGCAAACTAAACATAAAAAATGGGTGAATTACACTAATAGTCTTTACAGTTTGGGACTCGTATTTGAATTTTTTTTCAAATAAAGACAATTGAAAATATTATTACTTAATTTTAAGGGCAAAATCATCAATTTGATAAAATATAAACTAATTTGATAAAAATAAATTAAAAAAAATATTTTTAAAATTTTGAAAACTATTTCTACCCACAAAAGATAAAATTATGTAAAATTGATAAATCTTTTAAACATTTATTTATATATATTTTTTATCAAATTAATTTTTATTATGTGTTTGGATGGTGATTATGTAATATGTGGTTGTTAGTATTTTGGGATTTTTTTTAAGGTCCCTGGTATGAAGATTTTATAGCATAAAAGACATTCAATATTTTAATAATGTCTAAGGTCCCTCAAGTTGATCTAGAGAAAATTCACGCCATTGAAAAAATTGGTCTAGAGAAATTCTCAAAGAAAAAATTTCTCTGACCTTCCCTAATCTTCTACCGTAAATTTCTCTGCCCTCCTATTCTCCAAATTTCTCTGCCTTCCATTTATTTCCCACTCTCCCAGAGAAATTTCTTTGCCTTTTTTATGGCCATAGTTTCCAAGCATTTTGCCTAAATGAAAGTCATATTAAATCATCATCGATCCTGGAATTACTGAAGTTCAAATAAAACTTAGATTATATTACCTGAAAACAATTCCAAATGATCCAATACCCACTACATGCTCAGCCATGTAACTAATGGTCTGCAAAAGGCATTATAAATCAACAGCTTAGCTTTCTAAGTTGGAGACGACGACTACGATGAACTCTAGAGAGAATTGCCAAAATCCAGAGAAAATTCAAAAGTAAACCAGAGAAAATTGCTAAATCCAGATAAAAATGACCAAATCCAGAGAAATTGCCACATCCAGAGAAAGTTGGAGAAGAAGGAAAAATTCACCTTCTTCATCAAGCAAATTTGCTTCATCTGCCTCACGTAACTATCCGTGGATGTATTGAGCCGCTAATTTCTGGTTGCTAACTTCCTCTGTCAAAGGAAGCAAGGGAGAAGGTAGGTTATCTAGAGAAAATTGAACACCACAGAGAAAGTTAAACAAGGCAGAGAAAATTAACCAAACCAGAGAAATTTTAGCACAAATTTCTCACACGGAGTATTGAGGAAGGTTTAACATTATCAAAGAAAAAGTAACCCAGAGAGCGTGTTTCTTCATATCCACTGCCCATATATATAGGCAGACCCATTATTAGATCTTGAAGTCCAATTACCTTTCCAGCTCAGAACTATTAGGAGAAGCTTCCTGATATAATCTGCTATTTATTGATGCAATCATAAAGGCAAGAAATCAGTGCTTAATCAGACTGGTTGATGGAAGAGTGGGGAGAATGAGAGGCTTCTTCAAGAACGCGGCGTTGCTCAACGCGCCGGCTAGAGTAGAAATGGTCTCGGATCTCGCTGAAGTCTTCTTGTGGAGTTCCGAACTTTCTAGCATCGAGATTTTTCTGAATCACGACCACTGTGAGAACGAGGCATAAGAGAATGAGCTTTCCGTTTCGGAGAACTCGCTTGATCTTCCATAGCTGATAAGCTTCGAAGAAACGGTCTAGCATTTTTTTTGAATTCAAAGTTTTTTATGAGCTGAATTCAAAGCTTTTCATTGCCGACGCCGGTCGTCAATGATGCTAACGAAAGAGAATAAAGAGAAACACAGTTAAGGGAGAGAAGAGACACAACAGATAAAGAGAGAAAGAGATTCGATAATAGAGAAGTTGGTAGAGAGAGAAGTCAAATTTCTCTGTGATATATATGTGTGGAGGTTGAAGGACCTTAGACATTATAAAATAATATTGTGGATCTCTTCCATTATTAAACATGGGAGAGGGACCTTAGACTAATTTTTCATAGAATTTTAATGTGTAATCGATATATTTAATAGGTTAAATTACACTGACACCCCCTGTGGTTTATATTTATTACAATTCCCTCCTTAACCTTCTGGAAATTACATCTCCTTCCCCGAGATTTAAAGTTTTATTATAGATTTCCCCCTCAGCAATTTGATTTTTTTAAATACCAATTTTGCCCGCACTGGGTAAATTACATTGACACCCTTCACATTTTGGAAATTACAATTCCCTCCCTAAGGTTTAAAGTAGTATTACCAATTGTCCCCTCGGTTAGTATTAGTTGGAAAAAAAAATTAATTGAAAAAAAAATTAATTAAAATTTTTTTTTGTTAGTAAAATTTTTAAATTTCTATTTTAAAATTAACGTAAACTTATTTTTTAAATTTACATTTTTCCTCAAATTTACAAACTGAGACAACTATTTATAAACCAAAAAAATTATCAAACAAGTTTTTATGACAGCTTTTTTCAATTTTTGTAAATATAAATTGAAAACTAAAAACGAAATGGTTACCAAACAGGCCTTAGATGGTAAAATTGTCGTAAAATTAACAAATAATTAAATAAGTTATGTTGATAAGTCATTTCTTACATTGGTAACTTATTTAATTATTTGTTAATTTTACGACATTTTTTACCATCTGAAATCTGTTTGGTAACCATTTCGTTTTTAGTTTTCAATTTATATTTACAAAAATTTAAAAAACTGTCATAAAAACTTGTTTGATAATTTTTTTGATTTATAAATGGTTGTCTTAGTTTGTAAATTTGAGAAAAAAACATAAATTCAAAAAATGAGTTTACGTTGGTTTTTAAACAGAAATTTAAAAATTTTACTAACAATTTTTTTTTTTCAATTATTTTATTTTTCAAATAGTTTTTTTTCCAATTAATTTTTTTGTAATGAATTTTTTTTTTCCAACTAATACTAACTGAGGGGACAATTAGTAATGCTACTTTAAACCTTAGGGAGGGGATTGTAATTTCTAAAATGTGAGGGGTGTCAATGTAATTTACCCAGTGAGGGCAAATTTGGTATTTAAAAAAATTAAATTGCTAAGGGGAATCTGTAATGAAACTTTAAAACTCAGAGAGAGATATAATTTTCAAAAGGTGAGGGATGAACTGTAATAAATATAAACCTCAGGGGGTGTTAGTGTAATTTATTCTATTTAATATATAAAATGTTTTTAGTTTTGGATTTTTTGGTTTAATGGATTGGTTAATAATGATATAAAGCTGTCGCTATATTTGATTTTTAGAAAAATAGAAATTAATTTAATGAAAATAAAAACAACCACCTATTACGTTATTATCATCCAAACATATAATAAAAATTTATTTGGTAAAATAAAAAATGTCTAAAAGATATTAATTTTACATAATTTTATATATAGTGTGTAGAAATAATTTTTAAAAATTTAAAAATATTTTTTAACATTTATTTTTATCAAATTAATTTATATTTTATCAAATTAACGATTTTATTCTTAAAATTAAAAAATAGTATCTATACTCGTCCTTATTTACAATTAAAAAATTAAAAATTAAAATAATACAAATCTAAAGCTATAAGGGCCGATAATGTAATTGCCTAAAAAAAAATAGCGATGGTTTGTCGACAAATGACACGATCCAAACGGACCGTAATGAACACTAGTAGTATATGTTTTCTAGCCTTACTTATGTGGTGGGTAATAGACAAGTGAAGAAGTGGTAGGAAAGAGAGGGTTGAGTAGGGAAGCGTGGGGGGTTTTGATGGAGCTGCTGGTGCATATCCTCCTTGAGTAGTAGGAGGAGGAGTAGTAGTCATAGAGTAGTAGTAGTAGTAGTAGTAGGTGCAGTTAAAATGAAACAAGCATACCATCGTCAACATCTTCATCATCATCGCTAAGTATTTGGAGCGGAAAGCGGAAGAAAGCCTGATGTTTAGGAGCAACAACGTGGCTGCAAGGACTTTTGAGCGCCAGATTTGCACTCCTTCTCCGGGCACCAGTGTATGCCCTGCTCTGCTCTGCTCTGCTCTACTATTACTATCAAAATTCTCCCATTTCTCTCTCTATTCTTTATTGTTTTTCTCACATAATTTGGGGCTTCTCTGCTTTTCGCTTTCATTTTGGGGGACACTCGTTTATTTTTATGTTTGGTTTCCCTCATCCACAATTTATTTTATTTTATTTATTTATTTATTATTATTTATTTGATGAACTGATTCAGCTTTCATTATATATATATATATATATATATATCTTAAATTCGTTATAACATCTCTATGTCCATTGGTGGCATTGATTTCTCTTCACGTCTTTTGGTGACCCCCATTGAACAAGAAAGATTCTTTAATGCTGTGTTTGATTGAGGATTTCAGAAGGGATTTGGAATGGGAAATAGAAAAGGTAGGTGAAATAGAAATAAAATATACTTATATTTCACCTAATTTCATACATATTTTTCCTTTCCCTTTCCAAATCCCGCAACCCAACCAAACACAGTGTAAGTGCATATTTGGGTTGTTGGGCGAATTGCATAACTATGGAGATGGATGTGATCTTATATATTCGATTTAAGATTAATGAAATAAGCAGGCGGAGTTATCCTTCAAGAATTTGGCTCCAACAACTCTTGTAGTTAGTTATAGGCCTAACCTAACCTTACCTATCGGAAAAAATAGTTACAAAAACAGAAAACAAAATCTATCAAAGCCTAAAAATTACAAACTCAATACATACTAGAATTTAACCAAAAAGTAAATAAATATATTTGTCATCGCCCAGAGGCTATAGTATCAAAACTCTCAAGTCTAGAGTCACTCACTCAACCAAGTCTAGAAATCATCAAATATGAAATTGTGATGAATTAAGTAAAGTAACAACTCCATTTTAAGATCTTCAGAGTTCCGTTGATGTAAGAATTCAAAATTTCTAAAGAATTCCAAGACCAAAACTGGTCATGCAAGGCAAACTAGTTGTGTTGTACAACCCCTTCAAAGATGCTCACACAGATCTATTAATTTTGAAATCCCTTTTTTCCCCTCCAAATCAACATCAACATTTGAATGCGATTTATCAATTTTCGCAACTAATTGTGTGTAGAATAATCTTGCTGTTTTCACATGCACAGTCAAGACATGAATAACATCATAGTGATTCAATTTTGTAGGCAATATATCAAGCATACCGAGCACATTGAATCTGATTTGTCTCTTTTGTCTAAACAACAACCACACAATTGTATTTATTCACATTTGAATTTTTTGGTACACATAAGGAGATGTGAGAATCTAGCCATAGGCGTCTATTGCACTTTCCATTAAGATTTTAGTACTCATGTGAAATAATAAATTAAAACCCTCGAATCAATCTAAAATCAAAACATGCAATTGTTAAGGTGTTAAAAAAATAATTTCAACTCATCATCATCTAGACCTCAATAAGTGAATTGTCTACATAAACCATGGGCAAAAGGCACGAGTTCTTTAGGGAATATGTACACCTCTTAAAGTCAGTTTTGTTTGGTCTTAAGCTTATAAGATCTTAAAGACTCTCCTTACAATCTTAGGTACATGTGATGTGGCAACTTGTTTATTTTTATAGTACCTTTGACAAGAGTACTCAATCAAGAGCATGGTTATCTGAATCCTGATCTGGATCTTAGGATTTTAAGATCTTATGATCCATTTGAGTACAATCGATCGATCGTGTAAAAAATTCTGTACAAGTAGGATCTTTCGATCCTGGTAATTGGATCTTATAGGATCGTGGAATCCTAATCCAAATCCAATTCAATTTGTAAGCCTTGTTTTGTATTGTATGGCCTATTTTATTGTAAAGTTTATGTTTGTTGTCTAAATACCAATTTATATGGTCTAAATGAATAATAATAAAAAAGAAAGCAGTATTGAATCAAATAGACTAAGAAAAATAAACTGGAAAACTGGAGTTGCTGAACGCAAGAATGACCATTTTTTTGAAGTTGTTCGCTCTCTTTTGTTTACCATGAATGTTCTTAAGTCTTTTTGGGGTGATGTTGTTCTTACCGTTGCTTACCTTACATTTGTTTGCCTTCTAGTGTCCTCCAATTCCATATTCCTCTTGAACTTCTTCCTGTGGCTTATCCCACATCTTCTCTTCCTCCTTGGGTCTTTGGGTGTGTTTGTTTTGTTCATTTGCAACCTCGTACTCGTGGGAACCTTGATCCTAAGGTTGTGCATTGTGTCTTTATTTTCTATTCTACTACTCAGAAGGGTTACAAATGCTATGATCCACACACTCGTAAAGTGTATGTTAGTATGGATGTCACCTTCCGTGAATTTGAGTCATTTTTTACTTCTTCTCCTTCATCTCCTTAGGGGGAGAGTAGTGTTACGGATGAGATTGCAGATGAGGTGATGTCATATCAGCATGAGTTGTGTTTTTTCGTTCTTAGTCTAGGGATTGTTATTTGTGGCGCGGGGGAGCCTAATAGTTCTCTTGATGTGGAGCTTGACATTGGTGGCCATTTGGACAGAGCTAACCTTAAGGCTTATTCACGGCGTTAGAAAGAACAAACTTCTCTTGTGTCACCAGATCAATTATCATCCCTTGTGCCAGTTCTACATCCTGTTTCCCTGTTTCGACTGATTCTACTGATAATGACCATCAGTCTGTTTCTCAACCAGTTGTTGACAGTCCTATTGTTGATGATTTGAGTCTTCCTATTGCTCTTAGAAAGGGGGTTAGGGCTCTAAATTTGTGTCATATGATTCATTGACTCCTATATATCGTGCTTGTGTTTAGTCTCTGTCTTCTGTGTGTATCCCACAGGGTTGGAAAGAAGCTATCAATGATCCTTAGTGGAAAGGAGCTATGGTAGAGGAGATGCAAGCTCTAAGCCAGAATAACACTTGGGAGTTGGTTCCTCTTCCTAGTGGAAAACAACTAGTGGACTGTAAGTGGGTGTTCACCATCAAGCAGAAAGTAGATGGGACAATTGAACGGTAAAATGCAAGACTAGTGGCCAAGGGGTATACTTAGACATATGAAATTGATTATCAACAAACCTTCGCCCTTGTAGCAAAGATAAATTCCATTTGAGCTATTCTTTCATGTGTTGCTAATTTGGGATGGCCTTTACAGCAATTAGATGTGAAGAACGCATTTCTCCATGGTGATTTAAAGGAGGAGGTATATATGGGTGTACCACCAGGATTCTTATCTCAGTCTACAGTTGGAAAAGTTCGTAAGTTGAAAAAGGCTTTATATGGTTTGAAACAGTCTCTTCGAACTTGGTTTGACATATTCTTGAAAGCCATGTTGAGATTTAAGTATAAGCAAAGCAATGCAGATCACACCATGTTTGTCAAATGCAATGCAAATAAGGTAATTGTGCTTATTATATGTGGATGACATAGTTGTGGCGGACAATGATGAAGAGGAAGTGACACATCTCAATGTACAGTTGGCTAAGGAATTTGAGATCAAAGATCTCGGCCTATTGAGGTACTTTCTTGGAATTGAAGTTGCCAGGTCTGACAAAGACATCTTTATTTCTCAAAGAAAGTATATTTTAGATCTTCTTGAGGAAATTAACACATTAGGCTGTAGATCTGTTGATTCACCAATTGAGGCTAATCATCATCTTTGCTGTGGTGTTGGTGACCTTGTGGAGAAGGAAAGGTACCAGAGACATGTGGGAAGGCTTATATATTTATCTCACACTTGCCTATATAGTCCGGATAGTAAGTCAGTTCATGCATGATCCTTGTGCAACTCATTCGGATGCAGTGTATCGCATTTTGAGGTATCTTAAACCTGCTTTTAGAAAATGGATTTTGTTTTCTAATCATGGTCATTTGAGGTTGGAGGCATTCTCGGATGCAGATTGGGCTGGTTCTATAGATGATAGATGATTTATCTCTGGTTACTGTGCTTTTGTGGAAGGAATTTAGTCACTTGGCGTAGTAAGAAGTAGGCGGTTGTGTCCAGATCTAGTGCAGAGGTAGCATACAAAGCTATGGCGTAGGGTACATGTGAACTTATGTGGCTTCAGTTATTGTTAGGTGATATAGGAATTGTTTGTGTTGAACCTATGACTCCGTATTGGGACAACAAAACTGCCATCAGTATTGCTTATAATCCTGTTCAGTATGATAGGACTAAGCATATTGAAATTGATAGACATTTTATTAAGGAGAAATTGAATAAGGGTTTGATATGTATGCCTTTCGTGAAGTCTAGAGATCAATGGACTGATATATTTACTAAAGGTCTTAGTAGTAAGATTTTTCACCCATTTGTTGCAAGTTGGGCATGAGAGATATATTTACTTCAACTTGACGGGGGTTAGGTTCTTTGAGTCAGCAATTCTGTCTCTCCCTTTCTCTCTCACGGCTTTCTTTCTTTTCTCACTTCTTTCTCTATGTAAAATTGACATTCATTTATGTTGAGAAGCATAGTTCTTTTTCTTCATATCTACACCATGCTTATGCTGCAACTCGAGGTGATTCTTCTTCTGGCAATGGATCTTCTTCTACCAATCATTTTCCCAATCGTGGTGGTAATTCTCATGGACGTTATTCCCACAAGAACAATCGAGGAGGTTGTTTCTTCAATCGTGGATTTTGCCGAGGAAGTAATTGTGGTGATGGTTCTCGATCACATCGGTCCAATCCTTATGCTTGTCAGATCTGTGGTCGAGATAACCATACTGCCATTGCATGTTGGTACAGACAAGATTCTGCTCTCCAGTCTGGTAATGCTTCGACCATTGGCAAACACTCCACCAATACCAGAGCATATATGTCTTCGTCCCTTTTTCCTTAGTCTGCTATGCCATGCTATCCTTCTTCCCCTAATTCACAGCCACAGCCACAGCCACAGCCACAGCCATGTTATATGGATACTGCAGCGACAGATCACATCACTCATGATTTAGGAAATCTCCATTTTCAACACCCATACCTTGGTGATGATCAAGTTACTGCTGGTAGTGGTCATTCTCTTCCTATTCAGCACGCAGG